TTTTTTTTTTGTTCAACCTGCTGGTTGATCGAAAAAAAAAAAAAGACTCAAATATGACCGGCCTTACAGTATATACTCATATATTTTAACAGAATTTGCTAACAAAAACAATCAGGCCTCACATTAAGACGTATTACACTATAATTGGGATATATATTATTCTTTCTGTTTCAGGCCTCATTTCATTTGAGGAGTTTCATCACACTTGGAAGCTACTGAGCTCCCACTTAAACATAGAGGTCAGTGATGACGCCATTGCTAACATGGCCAGGAGCATAGATTTTAATAAAGATGGAAACATAGACATCAACGAGTTTCTGGAAGCCTTCCGATTAGCAGACAGACCTCACACTGAAGATAAAGAGTCAGATTTGTGATACGTGCTTCTTTGCATGTAAACCCTGTGACAGTTCAGAGTCGCATCAGAATGGAAAACAATAAGATCTGTTGACTCTAACAAAGGATACAATATTCTATATGGAGAATAATTCAGCATGTACAGATTCATCATGATTGATCAAACTCCTATCAGTACATTATAAAATGTATGTACTGTGTATGTATTATGGTATGAATGTAAATATGAAAAACAACCTGTATTTTACATATTATATAAATAAAACAACATGTTATAGACATCAGAGGTAAGAAAGTATGAGTCTATTATTGCAATTTATGATGTGTTCCTTCCCAACCTTTGACTAGAAGATTGGATCAGTATTATAAAATGAGCCTTTTTAACCACTTCCAGTCCTGACACTTTTACCTCCTTTCTGTCCAGATCAATTTTCATCTTTCAGTGTTATCACGCTTTGAATGACAATTGCGCGGTCATGTACCCATATTAATTTTTTAGCATTTTTTTGAGACAGATAAAAATTTTGGTGGTATTTACTCACCACTGGGATTTTATTTTTTTTTAAATATAAATAAAAAAGTCCAAACATTTTGAAAAAAAAAAGTGTTTTCTTATAATATTTTGCAAATAAATCTTTCATAAATCTTGCCCAAAATGTATTCATCTATCTTTTTCGGTAAAAAAAAAAATTAATAACCTAAATTAGTTTATAACCAAAAATTATCATTTTTCATTTTTTTCTATATATTCTTATTTATGTTTTTTTTTTTTAACATACTGTCACCCTAGCAGTACAGTGTCACCATAGTGATACTGTACTGCTTGTGGGGGGTGATGAAGATTTAAAAAAACAAAAAAAAAAAACAACAGTGGTTAAACAACAACCACTGTGCTGAATAAAACAAAGGAAACGTATTAGGCCTGTTGCACTTGGTACTGATGTTTGAGCATCTGCTTTTTTTAACGTAGTTTCAGGCACTTGTTTTGCATGTATTTGCACATATTTATACACATTTATGCGCACAGTATTTTCTCAAGGAAAATGAATGAATATTTATGCTCATATGTGTGTTTTAGCATGCATTTGCACCTACGTGGCGTGAATTACTGACCAAAAATGCAGATTTTCCTACTTTTTTTTTTACTGAGGAATATGCGGCACTTATTTACACGCCTGTGTGCAAAATCACATTGTAAATAATGGGCTACATTTTACCTCAGTAAAAAAAAAAAACGCTGTATTGAGCTTTTTCAAGCTGCAATGTGCAAGAGACCTTCTGGCAGTTGTATATTTCAACCAAGGCTGCCTTGGCTAGCTCCTGATACTGGTGCAAGTTTAAAGCTGGGACACCTCCATGACACATTACATGACGGCATGCCTGCCCTGGAACTAGCACTAGAGACATAGTAGCCAACAGCATCTACAGGGCTTTTAATATCAAACTCATATATAAAAATAAAAACTAATATCTTATTGATACAGATTAAAAATGAGTTCACATTAAGATGTACTAGCTGCAACAGATATAAAGGATAAACTTGTAATAGAATCTTACATATTTCCACACATACTGATTTCCTATTATCGCCACAGTTCTTTTGCATCACCAGTATTAAAAATCGTATAAATATACTGTTTTATCCATTAGCCATTTATTCAGGGGGAGAAAAACACCCCCTTAACATGTTTTGTCCTTCGCAGGAGATATGGGATGAATATCAGAAGTGATAGACTAGATCAGTGTTTCTCAACCTTCAGTCAAGGCACCCTTTGAAATTATGGACAATTTCAAGGCACCCTCTAAAATTATAGACAGTCCTGAGACACCCTTTAAAATTATGGACAGTCTTTAGGCACCCCATTCTAAAATGTAAAAAAATATTCTAACAGTTTTATATAGCGCAGCAACACCCACACATGTAGGACACCCAATGCTAGAGGTGATTTATTCTTCCAAATCAAGTACACTTTTGGACACTGTTTCTGCCTAGTATTAAAGTGTTTCTCTCAATTTTTCTCCATCACTGAGCTATCGTGATACCAGGGACAGGGGCTGTTGGGAGGTCAAGCAAGGATGCTGTGAAGGCAACTGACTTCCTCCTTATCAACTGATGATGTCATTGGTTGTCAGGATGCCGGCGGTTAGAATGTCATAATGGTGCACAAAGAAAACCTGCGGCTTTGTGTAACTAAAAGGCACGCTTCTTCCACCCGCTGACTTGTATACATGTTTTGTGCAACTTTTAGACATTTTGCCAAGGCACCCCTGAAGAAACCTCAAGACACCCCAGGGTGCCTGGGCACCCTGGTTGAGAAAGGATGAGCTACAGTAGATGACAGAAAGAAAAAAAGCTATAGTTGTCAAGTTAAAATTTTCCCCAGATAGGGAGATCATAGGTGGTATGTTACTAATCTTTCAATTCAGAACACCTATTCAATGTCATGTGCAAAAATATACTCTCTCCTTCATGAAGGAGGACAAGGAGAGGGACAAAGCCCTCCTCAGTCTGGCATTTATGACAGCATTTTTCTCTGCTAGGAGGAGATAAGAAAATTCTTCCCATGAAGTAAGGTCATTCTTTTTGCACATAACCATGACGAAATCACAGCATTAAAGAAGTTCTATAGTCACAGCATACACTTTCACTTTATAACATCATTGTAATGGCAAAACAAACAATGATTTTGACAATCCAATATAAGCTGATTTGAAAAATGTCCTTTTATGCCATGAATTCTGCTGCTCATCTCTTCCCTTAAAGCGGAGTTCCACTCAACCTATCACACAATAAATAAGAGTCAGCAGCTACAAAAACTATATCTTGCGGGTGTGGTGAACTTTCTGAAAGTGCACCAAAGCCGCAGAATATAATAGAAGTCTATAACTCAGTGCAGATAACCCACAGGAAAGCTGCAAGTGCATTGCAATGCACCTGCAGATCAGTGAGAATGCAGCCGAATAGTTGTTAACCTTTTATAGGTGCTAATATGCCCATTGCAAAAGCACAGTATGTGTTGTTTAATACACCTTCTTTTCCATTTCCAGCTTCTGCTGGCATCACTCTCCAGGCTGCTACAAAGGTCCCAGGCATAGTGCACTTGATGTCTCTCTTCCCGAGACAGGAGCTGGCACTACAGAGGGAGCACCGGTTTATGTGGCTCCTTCTCCCTTTCCAGTCAACCGCTGCCAGCACTGGTTCAATGCACTCTAATTGCTCTGGGATGTCGGGTCAGCAAGCCCAGATCGCAATCAAAGGGTTGTCAACCCCGTGTATGCACTTCCTTGGTTTAAGGTCGGGGGCCACATCAGAGGGCTCTGTGGGCCATGGGTTGAGCACCTCTACTTTAAATGATGATCACAGATATGCTCTAATGCTTCTTGCTTCCACCAAATTTTTTGAACCCCTTGTATGAAATGTCTTACTTTTATACTAAGTATAGGCTCAATTGCAGCAGTACTATAGGCTTTTGATCCACTAACAGTACTGGGGGGCTTGCAGTGTACCTTCAAAATGACTTAACTCCAATAGCACACCCCTGCCCAAGTCACAAAACTCATCAGAGTCATCCTTAACTGCTTCAGGAGTGCCTGCCTCCTCTATTATCAGGAGGAGGAATTTTGTTTTACTGAGTCTGAGCTTATGGGCAAATGTTTAGCCATGTTGGTTGACCGAGAATGCAGGGACCTGTGCACCCATGCCCTCTCCTCCAGAGTCCACCTTTGATTACTCTGTGACTTCCCCTGTCAGCTGAGGATGAAGAGGAATGTACCCGTTTGTAGCAGCGTATTTACCGCGAGGCAAACATGGCGCTTGCCTAGGGCAGCAATTTCAAGGGGGAGCTAGAGGAGGAGGAGGAGGAGGCCAGGGTGGGTCTCTGCTCAGGCGGCCTCCATCTACCAGGATATAGAGTGGCTGATCGGCAGCTATGAGGGGGAGACAGTGAAAAAGTCAATGCTGCTTGTTCAGAGACTGCGGACATACAACGGCGGTGGGAATACTGGGCCGGCCGCTCTATAAGACGCACAGACATTTCCCCCCCAAGTGTGTCTTATGGAGCGAAATAGTGTCCCATCATTGGTGTCAGTGGGAAGAATAGTGCCACATCATTGGTGTCAGTGGGAGGAATAGTGCCCCATCATTGGTGTCAGTGGGAGGAATAGTGCCCCATCATTGGTATCAGTGGGAGGAATAGTGTCCCATCATTGGTATCAGTGGGAGGAATAGTGTCCCATCATTGGTATTAGTGGGAGGAATAGTGCCCCATCATTGGTATCAGTGGGATGAGTAGTGCCCCATCATTGGTGTCAGTGGGAGGAATAGTGTCCCATCATTGGTATTAGTGGGAGGAATAGTGCCCCATCATTGGTATCAGTGGGAGGAATAGTGCCCCATCATTGGTGTCAGTGGGAAGAATCATGCCCCATCATTGGTGTCAGTGGGAGGAATAGTGTCCCATCATTGGGGTCAGTGGGCGGAATAGTGTCCCATCATTGGTGTCAGTGGGAGGAATAGTACGTCATTGGTGCCAGTGGGGGGGGGGTTGGAATAGTGCCCCATCGTTTGTGCCAGTGGGGGGAGGAATAGTGCCCCATCCTTGGTGTCAGTGGGGGGAGGAATAGTGCCCCATCGTTGGTGTCAGTGGGGGGAGGAACAGTGCCCCATCGTTGGTGTCAGTGGGGGGGAGGAACAGTGCCCCATCGTTGGAGTCAGTGGGGGGTGGAATAGTGCCCCATCATTGGTGTCAGTGGGGGGAGGAATAGTGCCCCATCGTTGGTGTCAGGGGGGGGAGGAATAGTGCCCCATCGTTGGTGTCAGGGGGGGAGGAATAGTGCCCCATTGTTGGTGTCAGGGGGGGAGGAATAGTGCCCCATCGTTGGTGTCAGTGGGGGGGAGGAATAGTGCCCCATCATTGGTGTCAGTGGGAGGAATAGTGCCCCATCACTGGTGTCAGTGAGAGTAATAAAGTGCCCCATCGTTGGTGTCAGTGGGGGGTGGAATAGTGCCCCATCATTGGTGTCAGTGGGGGGGGAGGAATAGTGCCCCATCGTTGGTGTCAGTGGGGGGAATAGTGCCCCATCATTGGTGTCAGTGGGAGGAATAATGCCCCATCATTATTATCAGTGACACCAATGATGGGGCACTATTCCTCCCACTGACAGCAATGACACTTAACTAGCCGACCCCTGTTCCAGCATGGTGCTGCTGCAGCCAGCATACCTGGTTGCAGCAGTACCATCTGCACGGCACACTTACCGGGCGGTCAGCTGTCCTCCTTCCTTCACTTTGGCCTCTCCCTCCCTTGATTTTCGCAGGGCCACTCAGCTCCGCCTCCTCGCCGGTGATTGTCAGCCTGTGTGCCTTTCCTGAGCTACAGTACTGGCGCCCAATCACCGGTGAGGAGGCGAAGCCGAGCGGCAGCGCGGACATCAAGTGAGGGAGCGGCCGGAGTGAAGGAGCTGCGCATCCTGGACTGGATCGTCGTGGGATTGGAGCCAGGTAAGAGACAGCAGCCCCCTGCCCGCCCCTGTACTTAGTGTCCCCTGCCGGCAGGCCGGATGAATGTGCTCGGCGGGCCGCATGTGGCCCGCGGGCCGTAGTTTGAGGACCCCTGCTCTAGACCTAAGGACACTCTTTCAGCCCTTACTGCCACACTGCACATGTGCCTAGACCTGGAACAACCTGCGTTGGCCATATCCAAGGTTACCACTCTGGGTTCTCGTAAAAGCCCCCAGTCTGTTAAAACCATTCTTGTACACTCACTATTGCAACTTGTTTTTTATATTGGACTGGTCTAATACAGAAAAAGTCTTTACTCCTCACAACAATATCCTATTTGGGAAGGTTTCCTTAAAAAGCAGGTTGCTCTTGTAGTGGATCACTGTAAGACAGCAGAGATTCCAGATAAACATTGGGGACTGTGGTGTGGCTGAGTAGGTGGTGGGAAGGCTGAGAAGGTCCATGTGTCCTGGAAAATGGCACACAAAGTTGTAATAAGACATCCTAAATGGAGACCACACACACTCAGTAGGATCCACAAATAAAGGGCAAAGCATGGACATACCAAATGGTGGTTTTAAGACGCCCTGTGGTCCCATCCAAGCATGGCACACTAAAAAAAAGGCAGAAACCAGAGGACATGCCCCATCCAGATAGCCTGCTCCTTCTCCCCTTCCAGTGGGCATAGTCCCTAAGGAGTCTCCACGGACAGGCCTCCACCAGACAGGTGCACTGTGGCCCTGGATCTGTAAATCATTCTCAAGTTACTAGTTGAATGGCTGGTGTCTTTAGGAGAGCACATCAGCAGAACCCCTTGTCCTCAGGATACAATACAGGCTGGCCTTACTTCTTCCACATTGTGGGATATGGGAACTAATGGTTGTGCCAAGGATCAGATGATACACAGAGGTGCAAAATGAGCCCCGCTGTCTCTGCAGCAACTGAAGCTTGCTAGAAGAAAGAGGCAATCTTGATAAAAAGCCAAAAAGGCAAGAAAGGATTTGCCTCTCTCTGAGGAGAGATGGCCCCTCTGCTAGAACACTATGAAAAATGAGAGCATGATGGCAGTGGGCGTTTTACTAGACTGGCTTTACAACTTTGTTTGCCAGGACCCACTCTTTTGAAGGCAGCAACATAACTATGTATTTGAAATACTCATTCTGTGGCCATTAGTATGCTATTAAAAGGATTGTTTTATATGCATGTTAATTGCACTATAAAAGGCCAATCTACTTTTTCATTTTTTTTTTTTTTTTTATACGTAGTGTTAGCCCCTTATGCCTCCATTTTATCTTTAGACTCAAAGTATTGACATCTGTGGATTAGCATGGTAGCCAGGGAACTATTTGCAAGTGTCAGCCTCCATGTTTCTCATGACAGGTAATGTATTAGTAGACATGGGTGTTCTCTTGCAAGGAGCAGGCTACTTTGTCTATTCTATATTCCAATACTGATGACACAAGGGTCAGTTTGCACCAAAACTGAAACATGGCTTTATTTACCTCCTGAATGCAAGACTCACTCATCTAAGTTATTGTGCTCCCCCCATAAATGTAAGGTATATCAGTTTTCCTGTTGGATCTTTATTGATGTTATATCATGGACAAGGCAGCAGTAATATGACTCCGTCATATATATATAGATAGGCAATGTACAAGCAGAAATTTCAGCGAGACAATATTACTTCTAATGCAAAACTGCAAACATGAATGTTATTTTAAAATATACTGCAATAGTCACTACTGGCTAACCAGAAGCAGAAGTCTTGCAAAAATAATCACTTACGAACAGAACATATCACCATCTAATTTTTCTGGCTAATACCTTGATCATTTGTTTAGTAAGAGTAATCACACTTACTACAAATTCTTGTTGATACTCACAACTGATGTAGCAATGACTGGTATTAGCCAAGCTCTACAAATATGGACAAACAAAAATGAGAGCTTGTAATATAGTTATGAGTTATAAATTTGGGGATGACATAAGGTCGGTCAACTTTCATCATTAATACTTTCATAGATTGATTTTTATCTATAAACAACCTAAGAATACAGGTGCATAGAAAAGTTCCAAGTGGATATGAAATAAACAAGTCCCAATGGAAGCTACTCCAGAAAACTCATAGGAACATTATGAAAAGGAACAAAAAATACCACAAAAACAGAAGCGCTTATCCAAAGTGGTCAGTAAAAGAAATTTTCAACCAAAAAGTAAAAGGTGCAAATATCAACATCACTGTTTAAAACCAAACCTGTTAAAAACTAGTACCTGTTAAAAGGATCTCAGTCAGTAAGGTGCAAAAATGAACCACACTGGTCCCGGCAGAGGGTACAGTGGGGATCGAAAGTTTGGCCACCCCAACTAAAAATTTGTATTAATGTGCATAAAGAAGCCAAGGAAAGATGGAAAAATCTCCAAAAGGCATCAAATTACAGATTAGACATTCTTATAATATGTCAACAAAAGTTAGATTTTATTTCCATCATTTACACTTTCAAAATAAAGAAAACAAAAAAAATGGCGTCTGCAAAAGTTTGGGCACCCTGCAGAGTTAATATCTTGTACTGCCCCCTTTGGCAAGTATCACAGCTTGTAAACGCTTTTTGTAGCCAGCCAAGAGTCTTTCAATTCTTGTTTAAGGTATCTTTGGCCATTCTTCCTTACAAAAGTCTTCCAGTTCTTTGAGATTTCTGGGATGTCTGTCACACACTGCTCTTTTAAGGTATATCCATAGATTGTCAATTATGTTGAGGTCAGGAGATTGTGAAGGCCATGGCAAAACCTTCAGTTTACGCCTCTTGGTGTAATCCCCCGTGGATTTCGAGGTGTGTTTAGGATCATTATCCATTTGTAGAAGCCATCCTCTCTTTAACTTCAGCTTTTTCACAGATGGCATCAAGTTACCATCCAAAATTTGCTGAAATTTTATTGAATCCATTTTTCCTTCTACTCGTGAGATGTTCCCTGTACCACTGGCTGCAACACAACCCCAAAGCATGATTGATCCAACCCCATGCTTCGCAGTTGGACAGAGGTTCTTTTCATTAAATTCTGTGCCCCTTCTCCAAACGTACCTTTGCTCATTTCGGCCAAAAAGTTCAATTTTAACCTCATCGGTCCACAGAACTTGTTTCCAAAATGCATCAGGCTTGTCTATATGTTCATTTGCAAAGTTCAAACAATGATTTTTGTGGTGAGGACGTAGAAGAGGTTTTCTTCTGATGACTCTTCCATGAAGACCATATTTGTACAAGTATCTCTTTATAGTGGAATAGTGTACCACAACTCCAGTGTCTGCCAGATCTTTTTGGAGGGATCGTGCAGTCAAACGTGGGTTTTGAATTGTTTTTCTCACAATCCTGTGAGCTGTTGTCTGATATTTTTCTTGGTCTTCCAGATCTTGCTTTAACTTCCACTGTTCCTGATGACTGCCATTTCTTAATTACATTCCGAACAAAGGATATTGACATCTGAAAACGCTTTGCTATCTTCTTATAGCCTTCTCCAGCTTTGTGAGCGTCAACTATTTTCAGGTTCAGTTTTCGAGACAACTGCTTAGAAGAACCCATGGTGCTGATTGTTGGGGCAAGGTCAGATGAGTCTGGGCATTTAAAACCTTTGAGATTGACATCACCTGGTCTTCCCAGACGATGATTGAGAACAATCCATGACACTGGCAGGTCTCAGCTTTGCAAAGGGGGCAGTGCATGCTATAAATTCTGCAGGGTGCCCAAACTTTTGCAGACGCCATTTTTTTTGTTTTCTGTTATTTTGAAAGTGTAAATGATGGAAATAAAATCTAACTTTTGTTGACATATTATAAGACTGTCTAATCTGTAATTTGATGCCTTTTGGAGATTTTTCCATCTTTCCTTGGCTTCTTTATGCACATTAATACAAATTTTTAGCTGGGGTGCCCAAACTTTCGATCCCCACTGTATCTGCAATGGATGATCCTGGGCACAAATCGATGACTCAAAACCTGGACCCAGAGATGGTGAATATGGGGACCGGGTGAAGATGATGGTCAGTACCCCAGCGGCCGCTGGGGTCCCGGAGATGACGAGTCCGCAGATCAAAAGTGACACATGAGGGGACTGAAAATGGCTCCAGGTGCTGTCGGAAGTGCCCAGATGAGACTCCGCTGTTTAGGACATCATAGGACACGTGCTGTGAAAACTGCTAGAAGCCACTGAGGGGGAAACAAAGAGGGTAAAACGGCTGGTTGTTTGGACCAGAGACCACATGTTTCGGGGTATACCCCTTCTTCAGGTCACATAATGCAAGCTCGCAAAAGGGAGGTTTATATAGCAGGGGCCGGGAGGATGTCATCCATGGTCACCACCGTAAAGAAACATTAACACATTGCGTACCAAACCCATTTTGAGGTAAGAGGATCATCATATGTGTTTTTTTAGAATAATAATAAAATATGTAAAACTATCTTGGAGGAATGTCCAACTACTTAATGAATCTGAAGGAACCCAAATTTCTGCATAAAAAAAGTGTAAAATAAATGTGTGGTTGTATATACTGTATATGAAAAAAAATGTATAATAAATTTATTGTTCATATTGGATTCTTTACATAAGAATTATACATATGTCTTATGTAAAGAATCACATATGAATTCCCGCCAGGCCCAATTTGAAATGGAAGGAACAATATTTTGCCTACAATACAACTACTTCTCCTTTCATGACAAATTTTATCTACAGACCAGAGATACGGCAATGGGCGCTAGCTTTGCCCCCTGCTACGCCATGATCACCATGGGGTATTGGGAAGAACCATATGGAACAACAACCCCTACGTTAGACATCTTATTTTCTATGGGTGGTACATCGATAATGTACTTGTGATTTGGGATGGTAGCAGGGATAGTTTCATTGCCTTTGTCACTTATTTTAATGACAATGATCTAGGGCTCAGCTTCACCAAAATAAATGATCCAGACAGTCTGGATTTCCTGGATCTGGAACTACAAATGAGGAGGGTTCCCCTGTAACAAAAAATTACTCCAAACCTATTGGGGAGGAACTCATATTTGCATTATTTGTTCTGGAACCCAGAATTACATCACAAAGCAAGATTTTGTTTGATAAATTTAAAGAGAAGGGTTACACTGAGGACTTTTTACTAAAAGCTTGTCTTGTTTGGAAGATCATCCCGGTACCAAGACAACTCCTGAACAATGTTAGATTTATCACAGGCTTTAATGGTAATTATAGGACCATTTCGAACATCATGAGACGACACTGACACATTCTATGCTCCGATCCTAAATTACGTCCCTATCTTCCAATTGCGCCCCAAATTGTGTTTAGGAGGGTGCGGATGCTTAAAAATCTTATTGTGCCTATCAAGCCAAGGAACTCTGTGGCCAAGAAGTTCATGGACATCAATTGCTATTTCGATAATCGTGTCAGTGTATTCCAGTGTAAAAACCAGTTTAGTTTAACCTGTCAATTTATTCCACATGGTCAGTCTTCCTTTCATGATACGCCATAATAATGTCTTTACCATCAGACAGTTCACTACTTGTTCTACTGAATATGTGGTATATGTCTTGTGTTGCCCCTGCAATCTACTCTGTGTATGATGACATCCAAGAGTGGGCAAACACCGCAGGATGATAAGAGGGTAAAGATAAACACAGTATCCCATGCTATTTTGCCTTACATCATGGGAAAAAACATTAAAGATCTGATAGTACTGGCAATAGAACATACACAATATTGGCAAAAGTATACGGACGCCTGTCTTTACATGCACATGAACTTTAGTAGCATCCCAGGCTTAGTCAGTAGGGTTCAATATTGAGTTGGCCCACTCTTTGCAGCTATAACCGCTTCAACTCTTCTGTCCACAAGGTTTAGAAGTGTGTCTATGGGAATGTTTGACCATTCTTCCAGAAGCGCATTTGTGAGGTCAGGCACTGATATCAGATGAGAAGGCCTGGCTCGCAGTCTATGCTCCAATTCATCCCAAAGGTGTTCTATCGGGTTGAGGTCAGGACTCTGTGCAGGCCAGTCAAGTTCCTCTACCCCAAACTCGCTCATCCATGTCTTTATAGACCTTGCTTTGCGCGCTGTGCGCAGTTATGTTGGAACAGGATGGGGCCATCCACAAACTGTTTCCCCACAGTTGGGAGCATGAAATTGTCCAAATTGTCTTGGAATGCTGACGCCTTAATAGTTCCCTTCATTGGAAATAAGGGGCCAAGCCCAACCCCTGAAAAACAACCCCACACCATAATCCCCCTCCAACAAAATTTACACTTGGCACAATGCAGTCAAGTACAATTCTCCTGACAACTGCCAAACCCAGACACTTCCATCGGACTGCCAGAGAAGTGCGATTCATCACTCCAGAAAACACGTCTCCACTGCTCTAGAGTCCAGTGGTGGTGTGCTTAACACCACTGCAACCAACACTTTGCATTGCACTTGGTTATGTAAGGCTTCGATACAGCTGCTTGGCCATGGAAACCCATTCCATGAAGTTCTCTATGCACGGTTGTGCTAATCTGAAGGCCACACAAAGTTTGGAGGTCTTTAGCTATTGACTCTGCAGACAGTTGGCAACTTCTGCACACTGTGCGCTTCAGCATGTGCTGACCCTGCTGTCATTTTACGTGGCCTACCACTTCGTTGCTGTTGTCCCCAGTTGCTTCAACTTTGTTATAATATCACTAACAGTTGACCGTGGAATATTTAGTAGCAAGGAAATTTCACAGATGGACTTATTGCACAGGTGTCAACCTATCACAGTACCACGCTTGAATTCACTGAGCTCTCGAGAATGACTCATTCTTTCACAAATGTTTGTAGAAGTACTCTACATGGCTAGGTGCTTGAATTTTTTTTTACACCTGTGGACATGGAGGTGATCGGAACACCTGAATCTAACAAAGTTTTGTAAAGCGTAATGGTCAAAAATTTCTCCGGAAAGTTGTACAGGTCTGCTAAACAGCTACCGAAAGCACTTGCTTTAAGTCACTGCTGCCAAAGGAGGTTTGACCAGCTATTATCTCCAAGGATTCACTTACTTTTTCCTCCAGCACTGTTAATGTTTTGTGGGTGTGTTCAATAAAGATAGTAGAAATTGGAATGGTTTGTGTGTTATCAGCTTAAGTACACTGTTTTTGTCTATTGTTGGGACTTAGATGAGGATAAAATCACATTTTATGGCAACTTACTTTAGAGAACCAGTTAATTGCCACTGTATGCCTAAGGACATACTTCTAAGGCTCTGTGAATACTAGCTTTTTTTAAGCTCATAGAAGCTGATTAGCATTTTTTTCTGCTCCTAGACGCTAAACAGTCTTATTCTATGGGTCCATGCACACTACTTTAGGCTATAAGCATTTTTTTGAGCTTTGAGCTTTGGAGCGTTTTTCCAGCAGCAAAAAAAAAAAAAAAAAACCCCTAAATGCTCCTAAACGCCACTAAAATGCTACTAACAGGTTTTTTCTCTTTTTCTCTATATGTACTGTAAAAACGCTAATAAAAAGCTAATGCTCCTAAAACGCTACCAAAAATTACCAGCGTTTTTGTAAGCTTAAAAAAAATTTACTAGTGTTCATGGAGCCTCAAAGCTTAACAGTACTGAGGAAGCCTGAAATATAAACTTCTGGAAAAAGCTGTAAGCAGATCACATGAACAAGGAATGGCATTTTTGGGGCATTTGGTACACAAGGTGCTGCTGTCATCTATGCTATAGCTGCCTATAGAGAAGTCCTCTTTCATAACATTCGTTTACAAAAATTACCGGTATAGAAACAGTATCTGGTATACGTTAATGAAAATAGAGTTTTCCCTTAAAGAAATTGACAAAATAAATGGCTGCAGGCACCCCACACCTGCATCTTAAGAACCAACTGTTGCAGCTGAATTCCAGGCTATTCTGACAGGCAAATCTCTAATATCTCAAGGGAATGTTGGAGATTGCCACTAACTCCCATATATTCCTTACTGTCATCAATATGAAAGGTGCCTTGATGGCCAATAGAAATGTGTACAAGGCGGTAAGAGGAGGGCAAACTTGGCTACTATCACTATTAGGAAGTATGGAAATTTGGCCTGTCAGAAAAGCTGGAGATTCAGCTAAAGCAGTAGGGTTTTAGAGACTGCTGCATTTTTTTATTGATATCTTTTTCGAAGCTGAAATGCATTACCCTACATGTTTTCTCACATCCAACAATAAATAATACTGGTCATGATTGACTTTTAAAGCTTTAGAACACCCCATGTTATGAGACAGGTGGGCATCAACAACAAAGTAACAAAGGGAATAGATCCCTGGCATCTAATGCATCTTATATCCCCTTCAAACTTCATCTGCTTAACGTACAATAGAATACTGGAGAAAAAAAAATGTCCAATCACAAAAATGTAATATCTGCAGCAAAAAAAACCCCAAAACATCCAAGAGTAAATAAGAAAAATATTTATTAATTCTTCATTGATCCTGATTAGATCCAATATTTAATATCAAGAATAAAAAAAAGCTGTGGTAATGGAAATGAATTTTGCAGTGCTGAATGTTTTTTTTTAGCATACCACTAGCTGCTGTGTTTGTCACATTTCAGTGTCATTGGTACTCCCAACATGCTGCTAAAGTAAAACTAAGTCCGTTGCCTTACAAGATGACCCCCTTTTTTAGGTTTCGTGCAGTGCATACACTTCGGGTCAGTTCACATCAGGAATTGCACAGGAAACCACCCACATTCTAGTGTGAATTGAGTGCACTGCATTCTCAGCCTATTTACGTTTTAAATGCTGTGCAGGAAACATGCACAGAACCTGGGTTTTCCATAGCGCATTCAAGTGTGAATGAGCCCTTAAATAATTCAGTATTTGAATACTTGCCATTTTACTTGAAAAACACAATTTCTGGTGTTAACTGTGAAAACAGAAGACAGGAAATGATCTACAAGTGTTTACAGTAACATTCTAGTGTAGTCACCGGCCTGGAGCCGTTCAAATGTTTGCAGTCCATAGTGTGGCTGGAAACTAGATGGATGTTTTTTTCACAGGTCAGCTGAACATTCCTCCACGTATGTGAACATTATCACTCAACCCTTGTTCAATCAGCTTGATGTCTTCCAGATCATCCTTGATGATACCAATTAAATGGCTCAGTCCTTCCTGCTGTTGTTTTAAGTGCTAAGAATAAAAGGAGAAATTATGTATTATAATTAACATCACCTAAATCAATTTGCCCATTAATTTTATGATTATGTAAAAGGTAGGTACCAATGATTTCAAAGATAGAAAAAAAAAAAGAATTTTGACTTACCTGTGATTTCCTAATCTTGGAGTACAGTACAGAACAAAGGGCTTGTATTCATAGACCATGGGTTATATGCAGCCTACCTTCAAGTGATTGGACACTAGCAAAAAAAACAACCCTGGCCAACCTAGTGCATTCTTATACAACACCACCCACTTTGTCAGACTCCAGTTTTAGTGTGAGCAATAAAGAGTGAATATAAAATACAGAAGGGAGGGGCCTGTGTGATGTACTGTACTTCAAGATAAGGAATTCATAGGCAAGTCAAAATTCCCATTATCTTAATTGTACAGTATAGGATGCTGGGTTTGTATTCATAGACCATGGAAAATCCCAAAGCAATAAACTAAGGGCCAAGCAATAGCACAGAAAATAAAACTGCCAACAGGCCCACATAACACAGGGCTTAAGACAAGCATCCACTGTGAAGGAAGGAAGATCTCTGGTCCTAACTTTAGATCTGTTCAGTTTGTTGTTGCACCTGGAAGGCAGGATGTCGACATCTGGTTTCCTCCACCATGGAAAGATTCTGGAAGCTCTCAGGGTTCAGAGACCACTCCCTCATGTCTAGGCACTGATGACAGAGAGCGCTGGAATGTACGTTTCTGCCCAGGAGAGTATCAAGTTTGTTTTCCTTGGTGCCATGCTGATGGTTTATGTAGGCCTCTGCAGTAGCATTGTCTGGCTGCAACCTAAATGTGTGACCTTGCAGAAGGTGGGTGCAATGATGCAGAGTTAATTCGATGGCTTTCAGATCCATCCAGAATGTTGTGAGGAATATTCACCCCCAAAGGCTGTAAGACAGGTATTTATAATAACCACCTTCAAGGGCATGCGAAGGAATGACTTATCTGACTCCAGGGCAGGGTTGGAGATCCACCATGCCAGGGAGAGATTTGCCTGGCTGGAAATACGTATAGGAAAATCCAGAGAGTGTTTGCACCACGATATGAAGATGTTGCAATGAAGAGACCAGTGAAGCTGGGGCAAAGGGATAGAAATTCTATTTTGTACTGCTTTGAAACAATAGTTTGGACCCAGAGCTCTGGGACATCTAAGATCCAAACTGGCGCAAATGCCAAGAGACGTTCAACTACGAGGGGTGAATTAAATTTTGGTCATCTTCTGGGCAGGCTTGGTGGATTTAGGTGTGCAAGGTTTGCAATAAAGAAAGTACTAAGCATTGAGGTTGATGATGCCTGGGGAGAGTGAGAAGACCCCTTTCGTTGAGTATGCGCATATGCGTTTTTACCACGTTTGCGGTGCATTTTTAACATGACATGTAACTCAAAAACCACAAACACGCAGGGTTTTCCATTGATTTCAATGTGTTTTTTTTTTTTTTTCCGCACCAAAAATGCAACAAGCTGGACTTTGAAAAATGTACCGGACCCGCAACGGATCAGTGTGAAGAGTTCCATAGGAATACAAGGTCACACGCTTTTCTTACCCTTTTTTTTTTTTAGGCACAAAAGTGGCAGAAAAACAGATCAGTGTAAAAGCAGCCCTTCTTGTGGCTCATAAAATGCAGGAATTGCAATATCCTCTACAGCTTCTGCTACAGTATCTGTTTGACTATCGCATGCCTCCATTTCATCCTCAAATATGTTTTGGAGGATCCAATTTTGAAAAGGGAGAATAGAGGAACGTTTTTGGTCCCTTAAAACCAAAGGTTCTAGGAGTGCTGAAAGTTTTCTGAAGAATTCAAACATAGTGGTAGAGAAACTTTCTTTTGTTAGATAGGTCATATGGTGTGTGTCTGAGAGGGAGCTAGAATCAGAGGAAGGGAACGGTGTCATAATAAGATATTGCCCCAGACAAAGAAATAGCTATCATCCTGAGCAGTATTCCGAGTTCTCTGTATTCCATCAGCAGAATGCAAGCTATTCGACCCTTTTGCCCCAGCAACCTTACATCTGTGATCCTCTATTGTTTAAATGAGGGTAACATCGCTGAGGATGCAGAAGGAATGGAGTGTAATGTGTCCAGAACACTGGAGCTGCAATAACCCAGGTCATGACTAACCAAGCAAAAGCCTGGGGTCTCACGGAGTGGGTGGGGTTATAAGAGTATAAGTTAGGGCGCCCTAGCAAGTTTTTTCCCAGTGTCCAAATCGCCAGAAGGTAGCCTGCATATAACCCATGGTCTATAAATAAAAGCCCTGTGTCCTGTACAGAATTGGATTGTTGACTTATATAAACATGTATTTCTGCGCTAAGTTATAAATCAAAAAGTGCAGTGCTAATCAAGGACAAATTTTTAAAAAGCGATCAAAAAATTGAAAGTCCAACAATTTTGTGCTCCAGTATTACAAAACATCCACAAAATGTGCAAGCAGTGCTTCCAGAAATCCAAGAGAAAGGTGCCCAATAATCCAATAAAACTGAAGGGAAAAAAAAAAAAAAAATCAGATCCGGTGGTAGTGAAAGTAAGTGAGAATGCTTACCGGAACTACTTGGCTTTCAAATTAATGAATAAACAAACAGTGCTTTAGGGAATAACCCCAAACTGATCCGCGGCAGAAGATGGAACAATGCTCTGACCCTGGGCTCCGCTCAACTCCACTCTCAAGCAACATGGGCATATAAAACACAAGAACTCATAGTGCAGTATCATCCTTATGTAAGAAAAAATTATTTAAGATAAAAGTATTGCACTCACATTAAAATAAAACAGACATTGTATTCTCTATACTGCAGCAATCATAGAAACGGCAAAGCATTCCATCTGGCCAGCAGCGCTGCTCCATCCTCTGCCACGGATCATCTGCCACGGATCAGTTTGGGTTTTAGGGCTAGTTCACACTAGATGCAGTCCTGTGCATTTTTTTTCTGCAACAAAATGCATGCACAGTGTTTTCCCATGTATTCCAATGGCCCTAGTTCACACCAGTGCAGTCAGTTCCGATCAGAACATTCTGCATTTTTTCTGCACAGAACCACACTAGAACACAACAAAATGCATCAAAACTGCACCGGAATAGTGTGGAGTGAACTGTAAGCAAAAACATATCCAGAATACATCCGAAGTGTGTTTTTGTGGTGTGAACTGGCCCTTACCCCTTAACTTTTGTTGGCTTTTTCATGAACGTAAAAGCCAAATAGTTCCGGTAAGCATCCTCACTTATTTTTGCTACCACTGGATCTCTGAGGTAATTTTCCTTTCAGTTCCATTATGTTGGACTTTCAATTTTATGATCACTTTTTACATTTTTGAATCAGTTGCTATTGTTTAGCGCTGCACTTTCTGATTTAGGATTTTTGACTTACCTGTAAAAATTATTTTCTTGAAGTACATCACAGGGCATCGGATTAACTAATTCTTAGATCAATAGGTTATACTCCACCTCCAGTTTACTGGACACAGGCAAAAGCAAAGCTTAAAAAAACGTAGCCCTACATAACCCATCCTACTCCCATCATGCCTTCAGTTCTATAGCTAGCAATACAGACACAGAGGGGAGGGTCTTGTGCTCTGTGATTCACTATTTTTTTTCTTTTTAAGTCAAATATCCTATTTTCTTTATTGTACATCACAGGACATAGGATTGGCTAATGCTTAGACCAGTGGGATGTCTATAAGCAATCCTATGAGTGGTGGGCAACACCAGCAACAACACCTAACAGCCCACAGGGTTTGTCCGCTGAGGCCTGGACATCTACCTGGTAGAACTTCGCAACGGTCTGAACTGAAGACCAGGTGGCCACCTAACAGACCCCAGTAACCGAAGCCAAATGTTGAAAGGCTCAAGGAGCACTAACACTGCTGGAAGAATGAGCCTGAACTGGAAAAGGAGGATCCTTCCCATTATTCCTTTACTGTCAAAGAAGGAACCATCCTGGCTTCTGTTTGTTACGCAGTTGGCATTGCTTTGTACATGTTATCAGGTATGACATCAGCCATTTGAGGGCTTAACTGTACATTCAATGGCCTGAGGTATGCCAGAAGATTGGGCATCCTCATGTGATGATTCTGCTGAAGAGCACAAAGCAGTCTTCTCGAATTCCTTTTCCTCGAAGGACGAAAAGCAAAAAAAAAAAATCAGGCAATAAGGACAAGCAAGAGCACTTACGACTCTTATGATATCTGCCCAGATATCAGCCAACTGTTCCACGATGACTGTCACAGTAGCAGAAAACTTCTCCTTAGATACAAAGGAAACAAAGGAAGGTGCCCTATACTGAATAAAGTAAAACCCAGAAGCTGACAGGAACCACACGAGAGCCCCTAAAAGGACTAATACTGGTAGAGCTTACCCCAAAAGGGATTACTTACAGCCTAGACTTGAGTGAATGCAGGAGGGGAGCATTTCTAGGTCTAAATATATGAAAGATGAAATCAGAGGGAGTCGAGTAGAGTCTGTGCCGATCAGAAGCTTGGGAGGAAGTACCCAAAATGGTGCAAACATTTGCAGAATGAGCTGCTGAAAATGGAACCAAAGTTAACTGCAGCAGCAGCCAAATTGCTAGGAAAGCTCAGGTGTAAGAGGGTGGGAGCAACAGCATACTGACTCCTCAGTGAAGGAACTTACTGGTCAGATGTCTTTGAAGCCACAGCATCCAAGGACCCAGCTCAATCTTTGCCTCTTCATGGTCAGGCATACTCCTGCAGTGTTCAGTGAATGGGCTCCACCACAGTGGAACCATGGCCCTTGACCTCTAGAGCACCCAACAAGCCTCTCCAGATGATGCAGTGTGTGCCAAAGTAAGTGCTTTCTCTGGGGTTCAGTGCTGCTTAGCAGATTACAGACTGTACCAACTCTGCATCCTGCAGAGTTTGGGTACATTCCTTTGTGAGGCAACCAATCTGGATAGACACGGCTGGATGAGATCTCCGAGGCAAATCAGACTGACACAATAAAAACACCCTGCTAAAAAAAAAAACAAAGTAGAAAAAATTGGATGCTCACCCATGAGTAGAGAGAAACATGTCCACCTCGAGGGCAAAAAAAAAGTGAAGACATGATGGGAGTGGGAAGGTTATGCAAAGCTGAGTTTTCAGGTTTGCTTTTTCCAGTGTCCAATCACCTGGAAGTGGAGCGTAAGCCATTGGTCTAAGAACTGGCCAATCCTGTGCCTTATGTGAGGTACAAAAACGAAGACAATGAGGCAAGTCTTTCTTTAGTTTGCCTAAGAAAAATCTGGATTTTCATACTGCTGCAGTAACAATCACCATCTTGCATTTTCACTTACTTGCATTCCAGGATCATTCAACAGATTTTAATGGCATAATATCAAAGCACTCTTAACTGTAACATGCAGGACTTTTTCCAATGCATTGCCATGAATGGTCCAGATGAAAATGAAGGGAATTTCTCAAAACTGGAGCAAACAGAATCTGGAGCAGTTGTTCATTGTAACCAACCAGCTTCTATTTTCAGTTTCGTTAAGCTTTGAAAAAATAAGATAGAAACTGATTGCTAGCCATGTACAGCTGCTCCAGACTGTGGCTTTCCCCCTCAATGTTATTTTCTCATTTGGCCAACATTTTAATACGCAACAGCCTAAGGCTCCATGTACACGGGACATTTGGAAAACTCTTCTCAACGATGGAAACTAACTGCTGGAAAATGTAGGTTAAAAACGTCTGTTTAGCCACGTCTGCATACCGCGTTTATGAACGTTTACGTTTAGAAGCGTTTTAAAGATATCAGGAGACCTTCCAAAATGCCCAGAATGCACTGAAAAACAGTAAAAAAGTAGCTATTTTAGACATTTTGAGGGAAATAGAGAGCAGAAGCAGAGAGAGCAGTATGTGTTGAGATGACCTGTCTTTTCTGGCTGTATTCACTATGGATCCCATCATGAGCATAATGCGGCACGTTCTACCATTTTTTCCTTCACACAAAACCTGGAACTGACTGCGCTGGTGTACCGGGTCCATTTGAATACATGGAAAACACTTTGCATGCGTTTCTGATTCTGAAAAAAGACTCTGGACAGCATCTGGATATGGAACAGTTAAAAAAAAGCTTCTAAACACAAACGCGCATGAACGCGGTTGGCAGCGTTTACAAGCGTTTGAAACGCTGATAAAACCTACTCCTGAATGCAAGTTTGGTGTGTTCAAAAAATGACTTTAAACTCAACTGCCTGTAAACGACAGTGTACATGGACACATAGGAAAACATTAGGGAGAGTTCAGGTGCTGCTGAAAAAAAAAAAAAAAAAGCACAGAAAAGCTCATAAACGTGAGTTCAATCAGCTGCAGTGTACATGAACCCTAAGTTGCAAGAGTCCTAAATGTTCAGAAGGAAAAAAAAAAAAATCTTACCTGCTTGATTTCTCTCAACAGATCTGAATCTACATAATAATTTTCTTCTGATCTCACTGCTCCAAAGTGGTTCTGCATTCTAATTTGTGACATTAGTTCATTAAGTCTACCCTATAAAAAAAATAAAAAAATAAAATTCAGCTGTAGTTATGGTACTTATTTTCCGGAAAACAATAGACGAAGAAGTCAGCGTTAGCAGTGAATCAGAGACTAAATAAGAAGGCATCCTGATGTACACCTGTTCTGAGAGAGATGAAATGCCACTTCCAGCATTATCCTAAAAATGTTGGTTACATAGGCAACTAAATAGCAAGACCTTAAATTGTAATGCAAAATCTGCTTACAAATAAGCACTTCTCTATAGTTCTTTAAGGTCAAGCAGCCAATAGAATAAGCATGGCAGCTAGCCTTATGCTACAAAAGATCTGTCAAACTAAAGCTGGCTATACATTTACAATTCATTGTAAACTTGAACTTTCGAGTCAACAAAATTTAAGGGTGTAAGGGCCTGCCTAAAAATTGTGTTCATATTATAGCTAATCAGATGGACTTTTCCTTGAAACAATGGATAAATCTGAAATGCTTTCCAGACAAGTTGATTAACTTAAAACATATTTCGACAGCATGCAGGGCAGCAAAATCTGAAAAAAAAAAAAAAAAAACCTTTTGCCTGAGCTGCAACAGTGTATCTTTTCCTTTGCCTGATCCCAACCTATGCGTTGGTTCCACTGGGAAGAAGTAACAGATGCAGGGCAATAGGATGCCGATTTTCAGCAATATAGTCAGTGAAAGAAGGGATGTTGTTCATTTCTTGTGATAGCAATAATGTTGATAAAAAAATAAATAAATAAAAAGGAACAGTGTTAGAAAAAAAAAAAAAAGTGTAGATTTTTTACATATAGGTGAGAAGTGTCAGAACTGGCCTGGGAGTCAAATAGCTAAATCCTAAAAAGAACAGCTCCCTTTCCTGGATGCATCTGCACAGTACAGCCACATAGACTTCTTTCCCCTGGCTAGAAGTCTATAGGACCGTAATGTGAAGAAGCGGCCAGGAGAGGTAGTTTCTCACCACAGGACGTAAAACGGACACCATAGTTGTCGGCTCTTGGTAAATAAATATCCATGGAGGTTGGAATCGTTTAGATCAGCACAAAGGGACAAAAAGAATGAGAGCACTTAATTTTAATGAACCCAGTGTTAGAGTACTAGTACAGTTCAAGTTTCTTCTGCTTTTAGTGAACTCATCCTGCCTTCCTCAAATAAAGAGGTCGTTATTATAAAGCAACTAAAAAAAAAAAAAAAAGTATAAAATGTAATAATAATAATAATAATAATAATAATAATAAAACAGTCACAAGATGTACCTTAAACTGTGTAGGAGCATTAAGTTCACTCTGGATGGTGTCTAGCTGCACACGCAGATGCTCCTCTTCTGCTTGAATTGCAAATCCACTCTTCCTCTGAATTTCTTGTTTTATTAAAACCTTTTGATAGTAAGAACATTCATTAGTAAAACATTCAGTTAATTCAAACTGCTAAAGCAGTGACACCAATAAGTTAAGTAAAAGCTGTAATGAAACCTTCCCAGCCTCCTGAGCTTAGAACATGCAAATACATATTTGGTTATATACATACATTTAGTGCGCATCTCTGCCAATACACCCATTCAATGTGCACATATAATATCTCTTATGTAAGAAAAAAAAAAACTCAACAAAACGATATAATAAATAAGTGCAATCCACCATATGAATAGTGAACAGGCATTCAGTCCACCATATGAAAAGTAAACAAGTGTTCTATCCAATTTTGAGCTCCACAAAACCGTACAATATGTAAACAATGGCCTTGCATTTGTAAAATGTATCCCACTTCACTTTACGGATCTTTTTATACCTCTTTGTAAGCTGTATATTTTATAATCATGACTTTTGATAGTATATTAGCAACATTCACCTCTTGGTTTAATTTGTGTTATAGAATTCCATACATGTCTTTTGGATGGTGGAGGAGGGACTCCTAGACATTGAAGGTTTACTTAGGGGGGCAGTTTTTACAAAAGTCCAAGCTGCCTGGGACCTATAGTATGTAGTAGAAAGTCTCAGGATGACAGCCATGGAAGCGTTTATAGCATTATAAAATGTGTCAGTGCTTGGTGGAAATGGAAGGAGGCAGCTAGCTACCAGGTCAATACTCAAACCGATAAAGTGCATATAATATACCATTCCACCTACATCCTTACATTCCTGATCAGATCAGCATAAAGTTCTCTTCTGAATAACACAGATTTCTTGTTCTAAATAATTAAGCATACCTGAAGGACTCTGTGGGATAGCTCCAGTAGTTTCCTTTTGTACTGTGCAATCTTAGCCACTGTTGTTGCCTGATTTTTTTTTGCAGTTCACTTATGTCGTCAGATATCATCTGAAAAAGGAAAAATCCACACACACATCTTGGTTAAATACTATATAAAGGATCCCTCCATAAAGCAGAGAAATACGAAATTAGGCTTACATCTAGTCTACTCTGGTGCAGTTTTGTCATCTGATCTTGAACTTTAAGTCTTCTAAGTAGCTCTTTGAAGCCAACCATTGCAACAGGGATCAGCCTGAAAAAAAAGAAAATGCTGATTTACAAATGGAAATGAATAGTTTTCTTTGGATTTTCTATAATTACTTATAAACATACTCCAACCTGGCTTATGCCATTTGATGCAGTGCAGCTAGAATCTTATAACTCGGTGGCGTCACTTTATGGTAGGTAACGTTCCAGATATTGTATTTGTGAACAGAACACAGCACATATCTGTGGTCTGAAAGCAATGTTTGATGGCATGCACTCACCTCTCTGGATCAGGGTTGTCTATTTTTGCTTGCTCCCAAATATTGCGATCCACACCCTTTCAAAGGAAGAGGAAAAAAAAAAAAAAAATCAGTCACTTCAAAAAGACTTGTAAAGAAACTACTTCAACACATTCCCCTTTAAATCTCAAATATAAATACAAGCTCAGTTTCTAGTGAAGATATTTTCCCACACTACAGGTAAAACCACATTTTTATTCTTTTCCCATAATTTGTGTCCATAGCGTTCTTTAAAAAGACAGGTTAAAATTGCTATAAAACATTCTATTTCTTAACTGGCAGATATTAGTGATTTTGATACTAAAATCAGCAAAAAGTACATATGATATCAATGGCATTGGCAGTCAGCAAGGTGGACATTTTTTTCCACGCTCCCCCCATGACCACCTATGCAGCCACTTACACCCACAAGCACAATAGCACAGGCAACTCCCATAAGTCAGCTGGCTGAAGGGAACTGTAGTCTGGAGGGGTTCACCTACATCAGAAGGAAGACACAGTGTCTTGCCAACCCCTCTACATGAGCAGCTATAGCTCCAATATTTCGATCATCAGAGGTTCATTTTAGGAAGATGAAATAGCTTACAGGGGAGTTTATAGTTCAGGTTCAAGTCACTTCAAGTTAAATTCCTGCTATGGAAAAAAAATCACAAAGGAACAGAATGCCAGTCTTGCAAACCTATACTGCAACACTAAGCACTCCTTCACAGGCAGTACAGCACAAAATGTATTACCTGCAGGAGGGTTTTGCAGTAGCTGCTTTATTTGTGCTGGGGACAGCTCTGTTCTGGCCATGGTTAATGCCACTCCCAGCTGCTGCAAATTAGCTTTCACATTGGCTTGCTCAAAGTAGCCTTGTAAAGAACTTGATGGGACTCTTCTTGAAGTTCCATTTGGTGAGCGCTCTACAACATATATGACAACTTCTGTTCTAGAAGGACGAAACCATTGAAGTGCATTAGTACAAACATCATATACAATTTTTCCCACACAGCTTGCACAGATATTGTATTTTAAGAAATAGTAATAGAACTTTTGTCCAGCAGCAGCTGAAAACTGCAACATAAATTTTATACATTGACCATGAAGGACAGTAAAGCTATAACACAAAAATAGAATTTTTGTAATCTTAATATCCTTTTCTTGGAGTTGAGGAACACAGGAAGTCTTGAACTGTCACGTTTTACAGCCACCTACAGGACTGGATTGGCAAACAGAAGGGCATGCCAGGATAACTCCTCCTACTTCCATGTATAAATGCTTCAGTTTTGTGGTAAATTAGTACCCAGAGCAAAATCATAAATAAGGGAAAGTGGGGACCTGTGTCCTTCAATGAAGTCCAGAATGCTATGGGGAATACAAAAAAAAAAATGCTACCGTCAGCCCCAGGACTCATGCAGGAGTAAAATGCTGGGACAACTCCTGTACTGAAGAGTAGAAACCCTGTAACAGTTCTGCCACAGGGACAGAGGCAATGACGCCCTGCTTCAGAAGAGCTGCACGGAGATCTGGTAATCTGTGTGGTGACACAGAGAGGTTGGCAGCAAGGTTGAGCTCGATGCTGGAGTCGAACATAAGTTCGACACAAAAATCGGCCGTTCATGTGTTTGACGAACACATGAATGGCAAGGGCGTTCAGCGGGCTGTTCACCCGCCACACCCCCCACAAGTACTGTGCCCTCACAGTGCATTGTGATTGGCCAAAGCAATGCACCTGACCACAGGTCAGGTGTAATGCTTTGGCCAATCACAACGCATGATGTCACAAGGGGGTGGGCCCACCGCACCCCCTTGTGATGTCATAACAGTATTTAAGAACTTTCAGGCCAGCACAGCCGACAAATGGCGGGAGCCAGCATTGAGAGCAGAGCATTTTTTTCCGGTTGGCGGTGAATATTGTGATTGTCATTGATTCTACTTCGGAATATATATATTTTTTTTATATTTTTTTGTTTTTAATAAAAGCCCATGAAGCACTTACAGTTCTGCAAGAATATGCTTTAGACGGAGAAGGGAGGAACACTGTCCTTCAGACATTAGACCTTAAGATTTGTCTGATCCACCTAGCACTGGTGACGAGAGAAATAGAGACCCTTGTGGGAACCCTCAGGAAGCACACATATTGAATCCAATTTTCTAAAAGCGAGCAGTGGCTGAGAGTTAAACTCGCAATGTACACACCACATCCAGACAGTGGAGAGAAGTTTCCTTAGAATATTTTGAAGCAGGACAAAGAGAAGGAAGGAGAATATCCTTATTAAGGTGTAAAGCAGAAACCACCTTTGATAGTAAGAGGCCTTAGACTTCAAGACAACCTTGTCCTCATGCAACACTAAAAACAGTATCTACAGGATAAGGCCGCCAACGCAGATACTCTCCCCACAGAGATGATAGCCAGAAGAAAGGCTACTTCCTAGTAAGGTCAGACAAGGAAATATCCCGGTCAGGCTTGACGGGCAGCTTCTGAGGAGCTGAGATAACCAGAATGAGATTCCAAAGAGATAAAAAGAAATGAATAGGGTGTGTGCCACTTCCTAAATAAAGGCCCCTAACTAAAGAGAATGAGGCCAAAGTTCTCTGAAGCAGAGTGGCCAAGAATGAGATATGTCACTTACATTTTTGTCCATGCCAGACTGAAAAAGTACAGGATACAGTCCACAAAGTACTTTCCAGGAGAAATGTTCCTTGATTTGCACTAGGCAAAGCAAGTCCTCCAGGTGTGATAGACTTTATGGGGAGTTGACTCCTAGCCTTGAGGAAGACAGGGGTGACAGAATCTGAATGGCCCCTTTCCTTCAAGATACCAAACAGCCATGCCGTTAAGGCCAGCAAACGAGAAGCAGGATGGAATGTTAACCCTTGGGGCAGGATATCCAGACAATCTGGAAGAGCCCATGGAGCATCTTCCAGGAGCTTCACATTCACCTAAGCCAATTTGGTGCAATAAGATCACCAGGATGCCATCCTTCTCGATCCTGTGAAGTAGACAAGGAATATAGGGAAGAACAGAAATGCATAGATGAGATTTCACTGATCACACAGGTTCACCAAAGCATCCACTTCTAAGCCCTGAAAAATCACTGGACCTAGTAAAAAACCTGTTCAGTTTATTGTTGAATTTGAACACCAGAAGGTCCAGGCCTGATGTTCTCCCACCTGTGGTAAAGGGATTGACAGAGCTAGACACTGAAGAACGAAAAAAAAAAAAAACAAAACACACCTGCCAATTCCATGCCTGGGATGCAGAAGGCAGACAAAGCTGTAACACAAAGTTCTGCCCAAGAGGATCAAGTTTGCTTCTCTTCAAGCAGTGCAATTTCTGGTACAGTATAACCTAGCAGTTGAAAACTTCCTGTGCCCCTTATTGGACAAAAAAAGTCATTTTAAAAGATAATTTATAAAGAATGCAGTTACCCAGCTAGGCCAGACTCCCAGAAGAACTAAAATTTACAGAGCAGACACATCCACTGCATGCGATACTACAGAGAATTGGTAGCTTCCATGATGATATGCAGACTTTATAAAGTATTTAGTTGTCCTTCAAAAGGATTAAGGATAGAGCATTGTTAACTACTAGATTACTACATGCACATTTAAATAATTATGGTTACTTACTGGTCATCAGGCACAGTTCTGACACCCTCCACATTAACAGTGAGGGTCTGGTGCCCTCCTAGGACTTTGTGCAATGATTCCACTAACTGTTGTTGCTGGGCTCGAATGTCTGCTTCTTTTTTATTAAACACCAACTCCACAAGACCATCTTCATCCTTGTTACTGGCTATACAACTATAACCAATGGCCTTAAAAAACAATTTTTAGAGGGAAAAAAAAAATATTAATTTAATGATTTTACAAATAAAGAAATTCCACAAATTGGTATGACCGCTTTCCTTAACAGAAAACGTTCACTTCATTTTAAAAATAATACAAAGTACATGCAGCTTTAAAGGATAAGTTCACCTTTTGGAGCATGTTACATATTACATCCATATTTACGGCATAACATGCTCCTCCCATTTACCCCCCCTGGCTTCTGCATCAAAGAGGAACCAACTGGGGTAGTAAAAATGGGACACCAAGATGCCAAACAGCCAGTAAGATGGAAAAAAAACTGGTGGTGTCTCTGACTGCACTCAGGAAATGACAGCTGTCGACAAGCTCAAAGGATATTGGGGGGGTAGGGCATAACGAGTCTGACAGAGAATGCAGGCCTTTGAGATGTGTTCCACCAGTCTCCCCACTTCTGACATCCATTGGGCTTGTTGACGGCTGTCATCTCCAGACTGCGGCTGGAGCCGCCGCCGGTCTTGTCCACTTTGCTGGCTGTTTTTGGCATTTTTGTGTCCTGTGCTGCTGGATGCTCATAGGTCAGCCATTGCCATACTGTGCCGTTTTATGCTTTTGTCTTGATGTTTACAGTTGCGCTGTTCCCTTGCTGCCAAGTGGATTGGTGATTTTCCTGTAAGTGTGCTGCATCTTAACCACTTTCCATCCGTTCTATAGCAGTCTTACTGCTATAGGGCAGCTCTCCTCTGCAGAATCACATAAAAAACATCATTTTGCACTTCCACCACACAGTGGTGCACGTGCCACTGGAGAAGATCTTTTGCTGTGAACTTTCACAGCACAAAACGATCTACAGGCACCTGCAGATTGTCAGTCAGGGAGGAAGAACATTGTACTGTTTTGACAGGGAAAAGTCATGAATCGTTTCTCTGAAGAGCACCATAAAAGCACCAGATAGTGTACACCAAACACATAGCTAGATACACACTTAACCCTTTGATCACCCTATGTTAACCCCTTCCCAGCCAGTGTCTTTAGTACGTGTCGTCGGTGCATATTTTTAGTGTCACTGGTTCCCACAAAGTTTCAGCGAGTGTAAAAATATCTGCCGTAATATCGCAGTCCCGCTGTAAGTCGCTGATCACCACTATTACTAGTATAAAACAAAATTACATTTTAAAATTCCAGTATATGTACTATGGTTTGTAGACCATAACTTTTGCGCAAACTAATCAGTATACAATTATTGGGATTTTTTTTTTTTACAAAAAAAATGTACCAGAATACATTTTGGTCTAAATTTATGAAGAAATTTGATTTTTAAAATTTTTTTATTGGATATGTTTTTACAGCAGAAAATAAAAGGTAGGGTTTTTTTTTCAATATAGTCAGTATTTTTTTGTTTATAGCACAAAAAGTAAAAACTGCAGAGGTGATCAAATACCTCCAAAAGAAAGCTCTATTTGTGGGAAAAAAAAGGACATGAATTTCATCTGAGTGCAGCATTGCATGACTACGTAATAGTCAGTTAAAAAAACGCAGCGCCGTATTGCAAAAAATGGCCTTGTCAGGAAGAGGGGTAAATCTTCTGGAGGGCTAGTGGGTTAATAAAGTTGTCATTACTTTGTATTAACCCCAGCACCCTGCTTCTGCTTTTCTCTTGCCTTTTCAGGGGATCCTTCTCAGATCTACTGCAGGAGCTGCAGAGGCATACAACGCTTCCAATATTGGCCATTCATCCATCCATTCCACTGCTGCTCTTTCTTATAAACTTTGATCTGTTTCTTTTGCATCTAAGTCTTGTAAATATGAGATGATGTCATGAATGACACTTATATGCGTGCTCGCGTACTGAGCAACAATGACTGTATGACCTCGTGGGTGCATAACAATGACTGTATGACCTCGTGGGTGCATATGGCGTCCTCCCGCACATGCGCAGATTGCGCTCCTGCAGAGCGGCTCAGCGGCGCGATCTGTCACCGGCCATGTACCTCGGACACGGCCGATGACAGATCTGAGTATCGGCCCCATTGCCGGTACCATGTGACCTGCTGTGACCAATCACAGCAGGTCACATGACAGTTGTATACAATGGATGGCTTCATTCATGCCATCCATTGTATACTAGTGTCTAGCTGTGAATGGTCACAGCTAATCACATGCACATGTCATGTGATTAGCTGTGGCCAAATCACAGCTAAGCACAAAAAAAAAAAAAAAAAAAAACCCTGATCACCGCCATGCCAGTTATATGATGACGCTGTACTGCACTGGTGACAATATGTAAAAAAAAAATAATAGTGAAACTAATTTTAATTTTTTAATTTTCCAAAAAATGACAAAACAAATACAGCTTCAAAAAAACTTGCCATGCCTCTTATGAAGTATGTCGGACTGTCTACTTTGCAAAAAGGGGTCATTTGGGGATATCTGTTTCTGTTCTGACATTCTTGGACCTAAGAAATTAGATTGGCTGTCAGTACTTCAGGATTGATCAATTTTCAGATCTATCCCATAGTTTGTGAACTCTATAACTTTCCTAAAAACTAAAAAATACATCCTAATTTGGGTTATTTTCACCAAAGACATGTAGCAGAATACATCTCGGCCTAAATTTATGAAGAACAATTATTTATTTGCAAACTTTTATAACAGAAACAAAGAAAAACTTTTTTTTTTTCCAAATTTTTGGTCTTTTTTTGTTAATTTAGCAAAAAATAAAAACCCCAGTGATGATTAAATACCACCAAAAGAAAGTTCTAGTTGTGTGAAGAAAATGATAAAATTTTAGTTTGTGTACAATGTTGTATGACCGCGCAATTGTCATTCAAAGTGTGAGAGCGTTGAAACCTGAAAACTGGCCTGGGCAGGAAGGTGTAAAATTGCCCGGTATTGAATTGGTTAATTTTTCACTTTAAGTAATGAAGGGAGAGCAGATAGTATAAACACTAAAACGCAAAGGCCTGTATGTTACCTTAAACCGGCAAAAATGGTTTTCTTGCGTGAACTCCACAGGGGGTATATTACTGTTGAAATAACCTTTTCCTGTTCCCCATAAGGCCTGAAGTTGGTTCCATTTTGCCAAGATGGCATCTCTCTCATCACCAAGTAATGTTGGTGCATTGAGTGCACTTGCTGCATTGTACAGCTGATTTGACTGATTCGAATTTTGCGCTGGCTGTCCAAAAAGTCCACCTCCAAGAACTGGAATAAAAGTAAAGTTCCAAATACAGAGCAATGTGATTAAACCATATAAAGAGCTGACTGACTTATAGATCAAAACACTCAAGCTAACATACAACAAAAATCATAACATGCAGAGGTGTTTACAAACCATTTTGTTGTGGTTGTTGCTGAGGCTGAGTATTGAAACCAGTCAAACCAAAACCAGTTGAAATACCAGTGCCAAGACTAGTGTTCGTTCCTGTTCCAAAAGTGCCAAATCCAAATCCTTTGTTTTGATTGTTTCCAAACAGACCTAAAGTGTGCATAAATAAACAATAAAATTGCAAACAAACGTACAATAAAGTCAGGAAAGCAATGTCATATACAAACATACATAATTACTACATTATGAAAGCAAGAATACAAACGTTAAACAACCTCAACAGTCCGCAACCCTGATTAAAAGGTAATAACGCAATGTTGTTTTCTAGTATGAGGAAGACAGCACAGACTGCGGACCCAAAAGCTGGCTTATCTTTGGATTCCACAAGAAGTTAGAGGCAATCCCTCCAAAAGTGAGCAAATTCCTTGTCACAAGAATTAGTGTCTCCATTGGAATATTTCTCATTTATGCCTGGTTCTGGTGGCAACCCAGCATTCGGGATAGTCTTTCACTCTCAGTGAACCTGACAGGGATTTTTAACCCTTCTACACTCTAGCAAAAAAAAAATGAATAAAAGTTTTGCCTTTAGTTCCTCTGCAAAGCTTTAAAATTTGATGTTATAAACTGTCCAGAGAAAGAGGAAGGAAAAAAAAAAAATCAGCTGCCTCACACCAAGATTTACTGACAGGAATGCCGGTTTCTGCTTGCCTACATATTGGTTAGCACTTCCGCCTGGCAGTACTCGGGTCATTGGTTCGAATCCCAACCACGGCACCACTTGCCTGGAGTTTGCATGTTCTCCTTGTGCCTGCGTGGTTTTCCTGCGGGTACTCTGGTTTCCTCCCACACTCTAAAGACATGCTGGTAGGTTAATTGGCTCCTGTCTAAATTGGCCCTAGTATGTGTATGTATGAATGTGAGTTAGGGACCTTAGATTGTACGCGCCCTTGAGAGTTAGGGACTGATGTGAATGTACAATATATATGTAAAGCGCTGTGTAAATTGACGGCGCTATATAAGTACCTGAAATAAATATAAATATTGCTTTCAATAAAATTTTTCTTTTACTTTATTATGTTAAATGCCAATTGTAGGATGCTCTATAAAGGTGCAGAATGTTATATTTTACCTATAGAGAAAAGACAAATGTAATCTGTACACAAACATAAAACTACTCAATCGTAAACCAATTAAAGTGGTTCTGAAGGCAGGTTTTTTACTTTACTTTATTCTATGCATTACATAAAAAACCTTCTGCATGCAACTTCCCCCCCATCCATCCCTGGCAACCCCTTATATTTACCTGAGCCGATCTTGATCCAGCGATGTGCACAAGAGCAGCAGCTCTCTCAGCTTTCTCTATCCTCATTGGACAGAGGCAGCAGCGGGAGCCATTGGCTCCTTCTGCTGTCAATCACAGCTAGTGAGAAGTTGGCTCTCTGTCAATGGACACACAGAACCAATTTATGAGCAAGTACACGAGTGCCCCTATAGCAAGTGGCTTGCTATGGGGGTACTTGGCAGGGAGGAAGGGCCAGGAGCGCCGATGGGGGACCCAAGAAAAGCAGGATCGGGGCTTTTCTGTGCAAGGCCATTGCACAGAGCAGGTAAGTATGACATGTTTCTTATTTTTTAAAAAATAAAAGTTTTATCTTTACAGTCACTTAAAGTAGCAAATGAAAAAAAAAATCACGATTCTGAACATCTCCTCTGACTGGCAGTAGGTTACAATGAATCTCAATGTTCTTACCTGTTGTGCCAGTGTTAGTAGGGGCTGAAAAACTAAAACCGGTGCCAGAAGCTGTAGTAGATGTGGTTCCAAAACCACCAAATCCACCTGAATAGGAAGAGGGGATTATTAAATATGACAGAAGGTAGATTTATCAGAGAATTAAGTCAAATATTTTGAAACAAATGAATAAGGTCTCAACAAAAAAACACTGAAAAAATGCACAAAGCCAAACAAGGAGCAATTAGGATAAAACGTGTCAGGAAAAGTATACAAATGTAACAAGATGCAATACAATACTGACATAAGAATGTAACATGCATACACATACATATTTTTAGCCTTGCCAATGTCAAGCTATGCATACGCTAATGCCTTTGCATATATACTGTCAAAATCCCTAGTAACATCAACACACATTTGATAGGAAAACTTTTTTCCCCCCAAAGTCATACTTTCCTAGGAGATCTCTTTAAGGCCTGTTCCCAGTCTAACCTGACACAGGTACTAATCCTTTCCCTACTTAATCTTTGCTCTACTCAAGTAAATCACATATATTCCTATAACTGTTAAAATTATCACATGTAATACATTCTTGCTCTCAAAAAAGATTAAAGCAAAAAAATTTAAAAAAAATGTAAACAATACAATGTTGTTCAAATAATTATTTCCAAAAAATAAATTAAACCCAAAATCAATACTAAAGGATGCTTCCATAAAAATGCTGATATTCTTCCACCCATTTAGAAATCCTCTAAATAGCACTACATAAGAGTCTCCAGCTCATTCACAGCATAATCTGCAGCACTAGGCAGAATATATGATCACTGAAACAAAACTGTTGGGTGAAAGCAACCTGGCCAAAAGTATATTCAAAAATCCCTTCACCTTGTCCTAGGCCTTCCAACAACTATACCTTTACCTTCCAGATCACTGCTGCCACCGCATGCAGATTCCTGCTACTTCCACATCAGAAGTGGGAGGCTACCCCCCCCCCCCCAACAATGCAGCATTTGGGCCCTGGGTGGCTAATCGCTCAGCTCTTGCCATAAGAGATGGGGCATGTCAACAATTTATGGGGACTTTGGGGGTATGGCTGCAGGAAATCGTGTGGCAGCAAAGCAGAGAGTAAAAGTATAGGCACCAAATCATGCTTTGTACGGGACAGGGGAATATTTTTTCCCTGCCAGGTTTACTTTATTGCACATCAGGGTTTAGGTTAAATGTAGAAGGTTTCATGCGGGAAAAGGCACTTTGTTCCTGGTGACAGCAAAATGTTAGCTTTGCCAGTGAAAAGCAAACTGAATCAATATCCTTGAACTGCAATACCAATGTTTGTTTTTTTTTCTGTTGAACACCCTACATACAAATTATGGTGCACATGAAGGGGAATTCCACAGCTGAACATCAAAACTTCAGTAATAAATACTCTGAGTTTCAGGGCTATTGGGCACTTCAGGACATATCCAGGAAAGAGCTTTTATCAATCTAATTGAGAGATACTGACTTAGTTACAATTTCATCAACTCAAGTGACAAAATAATAAGTAGTAGTGAAATTCCAACTAAACAAATCACTGCCATTTACTTCCTTATAGAAGTATTAGGGTCCCATCAATTAGTAGTTGTAGTCATTGATTAATTGTAGAAAGTTTGTGTTACCTTTTATTAGCTTAGTTATTAATGATGCAAGCTTTTGGGATGCCATAGATTCCTACTCCAAGCTTTATATATTTATGAAAAATGGTTCTGAAACCTACACATTTAAAATACAGGTAGTAAAAGCAATGAAAAAAAACAAAAAAAAAAAAAAACATTTTCTTGACACACTTAGGTGGTATGATTTTAAGTACATCTCGACCTCTAACATTAAGGCTGCTTTCACAATGATCTGTAGCAAAAATGCAAAATGTGTTTTTGCCACGTTTCTACTGCGTTTGCTGTGCATTTTTTAAAGGATGTGACACTCAAAATCTGCACCAAAAACTAAATGCAGGTGCATTAAGGCTGCTTTCACAATGATCCGTAGCAAAAATGCAAATGTGATTTTGCCATGTTTCTACTGTGTTTGCTGTGCATTTTTTTTAAAGGACGTGACACTCAAAAAACTGCACCGAAAACGAAATGCAGGTGCGTTTATGTGTTTTCCATTCATTTCAATGGGGAGGTGCATTTTGGCTGCACCAAAAATGCAGCAAGCAGGATTTTAAAAAATGCACTGGACCTGCAACAGATCAGTGCAAGGAGTTCCATAGCAATACATGGTCACTTTCCCCCCCCCCCCCCCCCCCTTTTTTTTTTTTTTTTTTTTTTAAACACAAGGAAAATGGATCAGTGTGAAAGCAGCCTAATGCCTGTTTGCTTTTCCTCAAATTTTTAATCAAAGGTACGTGGACATTTCAAAAGGACTCTCATCCTCACAGAGGTGACATGACAAGTTTGCCTTTACTTCATATCTCTTAGAAGCCCAAAACATCCTGCTTTCTTGCCTAGGTGAGAATGACAAAGTGCCCTCCACTGCAGCCTCCTGGGATGCCCATGTCACACATACCCCGAGGCAGTGTTTAGCTGCATGGTGCATGGACACAGATTTCGCATAGATATGACACCACTCTGGCAGGTATTTGGGAACCGGCAGCATAACTGCACATGCACACATGGGGCAGATCTCTGCAAGATCCCAGATTCCAATGGTATGTACCTGTGTGCACAGGAAACCCCAGTGCGTGCATAGACGTGCCACAGATCTCTGCCATTTCTCCAATACCTAGTAGACACCTGTAACACATCTTTGCACACAAGCGATATTTAAAGATGGTGGCTCTAAAGAAGGCACCGTAGGACATTATTGCTGGGGTGAATTTTCTCCTTAATTAGCCCAACAACACTCAAAGTAGAACTAAAAGCAAAACTTTTTTTCATTTTATATAGGGTAAGGGAGGGACCCCTGTCACGTTTTTTGCCATCTGTGTCTCACTGCAGAGATTTCCCTTCACTTCCTGTCCCATAGCCAAGAGTGAGAAGTGAGAAACTCCCCCTGCAAATTAGGAATTCATTGGGGCCACTCAGGTCACCAAAACCAGTGTCCCCATTGCTGTTTTGCGGACAACCCAAAACTTGAGATTTTCTTTTACTTTCAATTTTAATAATAATGGTTAACAGGACAAATAGAGAAAGTTTATGGAGGCACAGACACCAATAAAAACATGACATGACAAGTGTTCTCATCCATCTTCACTCTGCCTAAAAAGTAAAAAAAAAAGAAATTGCCTTTAGGTAAATGTAAGCTCTGATTACTTTAGATATTTTCTAACCATTTACAATAACCATTACTATTTTATTGTGTCGAGAAAAACCATTGCATTTCATTGTATTTCACAAAGTGTCTGCTATATTTACATTTCAAGGACTCCCAGTTGACATGAGGATTGTGCCTGGATGAACACATTTAAAACTGAACCCATCTCTATAGCCTAACTTTTTACAACAGCCTTCATCACCCAAGTGTGTCAAAAAATGACTTTTTTTTAAACATTTAATTTTTTATACATAGATGTAAAATGTTTCAGAACCATTTCCAGAAAAATATAAAGACTTGTTCACACTTAATGTGACTTTGAAATCACACTACTTCAAGTAGCGCAATCTCAAAGCCGCAGGTCAGTGCGATTTTAGGTGTGCCTTGGGATTTGACTCACCCAAGCTATACCACTGTAATCTCAGTCAGTAAAATCTGGGAGACCGGTGCTCAGGCTGAAAGCGTTCAAGAAGATACAGCTGGCTACACAATGTGCTCTCTTTATTGGTTACAAAAAACATGGTACAGGATCTACTGATGTGTTTCGGTGAAAGTCTTCCTCAAAGCATGCAGTACATAAAATAAAATGTAATATATATAATAAAAATCAGCCGCTCAAACCACAATTGGGGGCGGTAACTGATTATTAAAACAATTGATCCACACTCTCGACACTAGGATTATATTTTATGTACTTTTCTTCTTGAAGATGATCATGTGTGCGTTGTCTGACATCTGTGCAACTTCATGCACAGATGCTTATGCAAGCCACACATTAAATCGCAAAAATAGTGCAGGAACCTTTTCTTCCCAAATCAGTATGGCACCGTAAATTCAGGAGTCACACCAATTTGAACGGTTCCATAGGCACAAATAGGGTGTGACTTGTCATGCGATTTGGAACTGTCAAATCGCATGATAAGTTGTACCAGTGTGAAGCAGAGCTAAACCAGGGTACCACTTAAAAACACCAAACTTTCTGCATAATTCCTTATACAAATCTTATGAAAACTTTTGATTGTAAGTGAGCCACAATATTTGAGTTTCTGTTCAATTCCATCTAAACCTAGTAGACTGTATAATAGGACTATTACATGCATACCCAACTTAACACATAGAAACATGCAGTTTTAAGGATGATCTACCCCGAGAGAAGAAAATATACATTTAATCTCATGCAAACAAATCAAAGTAAACACAGAGCATGATACTTTAAAAAAGGTGCTCATGGAACATGCTTAAACAGAACGATGATGATAACTGTCAAATCCTTCTGTCCAAAAATACTCTGTGGAATGGCTAGAAGTATGCAGGAGGGGTGTTACACCAACTGAAATGACCTTTAGAAAACTGTTAAAGCTATTTAAAACCAAAACAAAATAAATCATATTGCAGCTTACCAATTCTTAGATGTGTTTTTTTAGGTTTCATTATTTCCACCTGTTGTTCCAGCCAGTAAGTCTGTAATTTTACAATTTCCTTTAACAAACCAAGTTGTGCAGTGCAAGTGGAAATTAGAGGGTTAGGACAAACCCCTGACTACTGACAGGGGTGCTTAAAATGATCAGCTTTTATACATTTATGTAAAACTTTTATCCCTAAAGGAAAAAAAAAAAACTGTTTGCTGTAATTGCTTATAAAGGTCTAGCTGGAGTTCATCTTCAGTTTGTTAATCATGTCCACCTAAATCTGCTAGAGCATTTAACTTTACTTTCTCTCCAGATTGACAATGGTGCTGTCCAAGGCTAGTTCAATGGTTCCTCCATCTCCACGAACACAGCCACCCTAAGCCTAGGTTTAAATATGTGCGT